AGTCACAACTCTCAAATCAAACCCACTCGCTCTAGTCTTGCAAACATCAATCGTCTGAGGATGACAATTACTAGCAACCAAAAACGTCTTCTTCTTCCCTTTCAATATATTATTACACATAGCCATTGCTTCCGCAGCTGCGGTACCTTCATCGAGCAACGAAGCGTTCGACATAGGTAAACCAGTAAGATCAGTAATAACCGTCTGGAAATTAAGCAAAGACTCAAGCCTTCCTTGAGAAATCTCAGCTTGATAAGGAGTATACTGAGTATACCAACCAGGATTCTCCATTATATTACGCAAAATCACAGGAGGAACATGAGTGTTATAGTATCCCATACCAATGAACGATTTGAAAACTTTGTTCTTCGAAGCTAAATCACTCATATGCTTAATCATCTGAGATTCAGTTAATCCTTCATCAAATTTCTCAGAAAACTTCATCGAACCTAACCGAATCGATTTAGGAACAGTCGAATCAATCAACGTACCGAGATCATCGAATCCGCAATACTTCGCCATCTGCGCTTGTTCCTCCGGCGAGGCGGAGTTATGACGCCGTGGGAAAGTATCGCTTGGCTTCAACGCATCGACGGAGATAGATCGCGTCTGGTTTTGTAGTTGTTGTTGATTCATCCCGGAGGTGGCGGTGAAATCCGATCGGCGATGGAGAAAGGAGGAGACGGAGGAGACATACCTCGACGACGGGAGAAGAGAGGAGGATTCGTTGATACGGTGACGTTTCGTCTCGGTGATGAGACGTTTCACGATCCCTCTGTAAGCAAGTCTCCTTGCACGCTCCATAACCAAAAAAAATGCGAATCTGAGAGTGAGTAGAGAAGCACACTGATGTAGTGATGATATATATATTATAGTTTTCGAGGTTGGTGATTTTATTAAATTAATGATTAAAAAATAACATGATAATTAATTTTTATTTTTTACTTCGCATGATAATTAATTTATTATGTGGATTTGAGATCTGAAAAGGAGTTGGTGACAACCACTTGAATAAGCAAATACAGAAGAAAAAAAACAAAATTATTTGAATAGATTCCACGTATATTTTGCATCGAAGCAATATCTTGATTTAAAAATCAAAATATATTTATTACTTTTTTTTTTCTAAATTGCGGCTGTAGGTATTTTTAGATGATTTTATTTTAGTACATCACAAATTCACAATCTTGAAAAATTTAAAATGTTGTTGGTATAAATAGGAAAGGTCAGGTTTTAAACCGGTATAATAGTTTCAGAACAGTAGTACGATACATTTAATGCGACTATCGTTGTCATAGTATCAAAGCAAAAATCTCTGTCTAACTTCGATTACTTCCTGCTTAACTTAATCATTTGATTATTTTCTGTTTAATTCGATTATTCTCAGTCTAATCCAAATATTTTTAGATTACTGTTGTGATGTTGATTGTGATTCAATTTTCAGGTTTGGTGTAAATCGGAGATATGCGATTCTGATTATTCATTTAGTATTTGATCTGCGACAAGTTTAAGCAAGTTTCACGGAGTAAAGAACACAAATTGTAACAATTACAAATATATAACAATCTTTTTTGTTATTAAACATTTAGATTGAGAATTTTTTTGATATTTTACAATAACTTATGGTCAAAATTTTAATGAAAGACACATATAGTTTTAAGAAATATGTTTTCATTTGTTTTCTACAACTTTGAAACAAATATTATATTTTTTTATTTTATATTGTGTTTTTTCATTAGCAAGAACCAAACTATATATTTAATCAATACCATATTATTTATTATTTATTATTAAAAAGTTATTATCTATTATTAATATAATAGAATATCCCTAATATTAGTCTCTGATTAATCCCTGTTTTAATGTTCTTGCTAGGCGCTAAACCCACCTCGACTGCCTGACTAGCGCGGTAGCGCCTAGCGATTTTTTAACCAAGGGTACAAGTATGGTTCACGCAGTCATTCAAATTTTAATTCTTGGTCATTTTGGTTCAAGGTTGATGGATTCGTTATTAGGTATGTTCGGTTTGACGGTTTCCTTTTCCAATCAAACAAACCGTAATAAACCAAAATTCACAAAAATGTGCCAAAACTTCTCAAAAATTGAAAACAGAACATAACTAAATAATAAATATAACGAACCAAAATTTCCTTAAAATTATAAACATGTAACGAAGCAACATAATCAATAACCGAATTTGTATAATTTTGTTCGAATTTTCCGAAAAAACACCAATTAACCAAAATTCCCAAACCATTTCACCAGTATAAACCAAAGTCTCAACTCTCAAGCATTATGCACATGATAGTTTTGTACAACAGAAAATACTAAAAACCTCGAGGGAAAAATTGGTTTTCGTTCACATAGTTTCATAGAACAACATATGTGGCAGGATGTGTTTCACAAAGTACTTATCTCATAAAATGTAAAGTTTCTTCTTTTAGTTCATCATTTGACAACGGAACTATTATTATTGCTACTTTATATTTTTTTGTTTCTTTATTTTTATTTCTCAAATTCATAAGATTCACTACTTTAGAAATGATTGAAATTTCATATTTTGTTAGTGCGGTTTGGTCGGGGGACCCTAGAAAATGATTTCCCATCAACCTTGTAATTAATTCTTGTCAAAGAGTTAGCATTTCACAATTGATCATTATTTCTTCTTCTTTAAAAAAAAACTCAAAATGCCAATTTATCCTAGGGATTACTCCAAAATTGCCATTTTCCAAAAATTCATATTTATTAACAAATACTAAACTTTACAAAAAGATAGGACCAAATCAAACCAAATATCATGTATACAATTATGTTTTTGTATAGAAGAAAATGGCCAAGAATAAATTATTCAAAACAAAAAACAGCTAGTTAAAAGTAAGTGCCCAAATAAACCAAAAACTAAAAAGAAGGAGTTGATAAGTTAAAAATTAGTTTTCTCAATGAGAGATGGGAAAAGTTACGTGGCTGTCTCTATATCAATTTTAAAATAATAATTTTTTTTTTTTTTGGTTGTGAGAGCATTTAATTAATGTTTATTCTCGGTGCAATTATCTGCACTAACTTAGGGAAAAATGATTTATGTCAACGAAATGATAATGTGATATATATATTGTTATCGGATAACTATGTTGCATATATAGATTGTTACCGGATTGTTATCAGATAACTAGGTTGTTATCAAATATATGCTGATAACGAAGCATCATGTGTGGATGTTATCGGATATTATCAAGTGTGGATGTTATCGGATAACGAATGAGTCATATGTTGATTAGTAATAACATAACCACTATTTTATCAACCCAAACAAAAATATAATTTCGACTAATTATAAACTCTAAACCCTAACCACTATTTTATCAACCCAAAGCAAAATATAATTTTGTTTAATTACAAAATCTAATCCTAACCACTATTTTATCAACCCAAACCAAAATATAATTTCGACTAATTATAAACTCTAAACCCTAGCCACTATTTTATCAACCCAAAGCATAAGATAATTTCGTTTAATTACAAAATCTAAACCCTAACCACTATTTTGTCAACCCAAACTTAAATATAATTTTATTTTACTACAAAATCTAAACCCTAACCACTATTTCGTCAATCCAAACCAAAATATAATTTCGTTTAATTTACAAAAACTAAACCTTTACCACTATTTTGTCAACCCAAACCAAAATATAATTTCGTTTTATTACAAAATCTAAACCCTAACCACTATTTTATAAATACAAATAAAAATACATTTTTTGTTTATTTATAAAATCTAAAGCCTAACCACTGTTTTATAAACTTAAACCGATATATATATATATATATATTTCCATAAATTCGATAAAACTGTTCATCAGTGATTAAAAGCATTCGATAAATTTTTTAAAAATATGTTAAATAATATGTTATTGCGGTAAGTTACATATTATCCGTTAAATTGAGTATTTATATAAACCGGTAATATAAATACTTTATACAAGTACGTAAATATAGTTTCCGTTAGATACCATAGACCTATACCTAGGGACAGAACTCTTGCATTATAGTTTCTCTTAGATACCATAGACCTAGAGACAAAAACGTATACAAAAATAAAAGCTAAATAACAAATTATTGAGGATGGATATTGATTTTTTTTTTCTGAACCCCTACATTATAGTTTCCCAACAAAAAACGGTAAACTTAAAAGTTTTTTTAACAAAATGACAAAATCTATAAATGCCACTAAAAATGGTCTTACCTCGTAACATATCCATATATTCTGGTTTAATTAATACTTGAAGATATCTTAGTAGAAGACTAGAAGCCCAAATTGTTGGGAAAAAAAGAATATGGGAAAAGAATTCACTGCATATTAGAAAAATGATTGCCAAAATTTTATTTCTCAACTTTTACATACAAATGTTTTTTATATATATTTTATTTCATATATTTATTGGTTTCTCAACTTTTACATACAAAAGGTTTTTCTTTAATTTTTTTAATCACCAAAAAAAAAATTATTTCCAAAATTACACGTATTTTAATTTTATCCAAATAACTACAGTTCCAATTAAACCGATTAATTATGATTTTGTCATTTTTACTATTTCATTATTAAAATCACTCAATAACAACAAACCAAGACCTGAAAATTTCAAACTACATAAAAGATACCAAAATAAAACCTCACTACATATACTCAGTCAGCTACAAAAAAACATACCAAATGTGACTCAAATTTCTACTAATTTCATTTTATAGGACAGAAAAAAAAAAAAAAAAAAAAAAACTAAGAGAGATGATGTTGACAGTGGGATTTGAACCCACGCCCTTTCGGACCAGAACCTTAATCTGGCGCCTTAGACCAACTCGGCCATATCAACATTTTTGTTACATACAACTTTGAAGTAAACTATACATCTTATTTGGCTTCAATAATTTTGTTGTTTATACTCTTTTTGTGTTCTATCTCATGTGACAAGGCAACAACATGTGGAGTGGACCAGTACAGTACTATGAATCTATGATCTAAAACAAATTAAATAATAGGTTGAATGAGATCTCTTTTACAAATCAAACCAGATTCACTTGTATCATCATCATCATCATCATCATCATCATCACCCAGAGCCTATACTGAGCACATAAATCTAATTTTACAAAAAGGGATATTGATGTATCTGTCTATAATTTATATAGTTTTCAGTATATATATATGTGGTACATCTAGCAACAACTATAAAATCAGATCACGTAAGAACTATGAAGTCATCTTTTCCCCCTATACAGCTCCAATGATGTCGGAACTCTAGTGCTTTGTGAGATCATATCTTCTCTAGAACTGTCTCAAGAAGTGTCAAATGGAGCAAAACCGTGATACAAACTACTGCTCGATGTCATCGGGAGGCAATGTCGGACTTTTGGAGCACATATCGGTTTTATGAAGCTCCTTTAACCGAATCTCCGGGTTACAAAGTCCTAAAGATTTGAAAAGAAAAAGGTTGGCTAACTGATTCTTGTGACCGGTATTATGCGAAACATTATTTATGTTACCTGAGCATTTGGGAATGTCCCAGACTGCTATGGACTTTGGGGAACAATGAGGATCGCATAAAGCTCGATTGTCCTCGTGATGTACATCCATCGCAAGCATCCAAGATCCGATGGTTACATCTTCATTATTAAACATCCTCAGGCTGAAACGAAAACACCGAATAATGAGATTTTGCATATCAAAATGTAAATCAATCAAGAGCATTTCAAACCTGCCATTCCGAGCTGTTGCAAGTGAAGCCACTATCTCGGCTGAAAGAATGTATATCGGTCCATAAGCATGTAGGAAGTATTCATTTCCAATCAAATTTCCTTGTTTCTCGTACCTGAAAAATTCATATATCTGTCACCAAAAATGATAAAACTCTGCAAAGAACTATAGTCATGGTTGTTGAGAAGACTAGTTCATACCATTTTAGTTTAGGGTCAGTTATAACTGGTCCTTTCTTCATGCAGCCAATGTATGTTTGTGAATGAAGTCTTTCCTTAGCAAGAAGCGTCGCAAGTCGATCTGAACAAAAGCAAAAAGAATTTGAATGCTATTGTGATGCAGACGAAAAAACAGCCCGCAACAATCACTCTGAATTACCTGGTCTCAAATAAATGTCATCGTCCGCTTTGACATAATAATCAGCTTCAAAGAGTTTAAAAGCTGCTTTGAAGTAAGCCAACCTACAAGGAGGAGATAGGAATCAGTCATTGATAAAAATCCAAACTCCTAAGAAGTTCATAAAAAAGGCAGATCAGTGCCTAAAACCAGGATGTTACGTTTTATATGGAAGTCGAATATATTCTTCCTCGACATCAAGAAGCACAAAATCTCTGTACTCTTTTATCTCTTTCTCAAGCTCAGCCATCTTCTTTGCATCCTTTGACCGTCCAATAACGAATCTAAAAGCTAATCCAGTCGCTTGTTCCAACCTGAAGTCAACAACAACAACACAACATTGGATTCGAATCAAAGATAACCAAATGTGAATGGGTCCAACTAAAGTGAGGCAATAATTCATCATTAGCTTAAGCTCTCAACCCGTAAATTCCGGGTGAACATACACTTTTCCAAACAACTAAAAAAACATCAAAACTACCTTATCTGACTGCATTTTCCGAATTGACTTAAACCGCTAAAGTTCGATAAGTCCAACACAATTTACCAACGAACAGATCTCCAAAGTAACCATATAATATCAAAAGGTTAAGACTTTAAAGGTTACTAAATCTCATCATACTATAACATCTAAAGGTAAACACTTAATGACATCAGGGTCACACACAACACAAGTGATCAGATTAGTACTTGATTTTTCTTGAGTAACACAATGACATCAAAAGGTTAAGACTTTAAAGGTTACAAAATCCAATCATGCTATAACATCTAAAGGTCAAAACTTAATGACATCAAAAGGTCACAACACAAGTTATTGGATTAGTACTAACACAATGACATCAAAAGGTCAAGACTTTGAAGTTGACACCATCATGCCATGTTTCACTAGATGTTACTAAAAACAAGATCAAGAGACAGAACAGTTCCTCCTACAATTACAGGATACTTACTTAACTTCAGAAACCAATTGAAGTAACCAAAGCAATGTATAATTCTATTAGACAAGATAAGAAAGTTTTAGATACCTTAGAAGAGCATCAGGATCAGAAGGGAACCAAGTACTTCTCAAAGAAGCTCTACGGTCACCAGAATCAAAACCAGTCTGGATCCCAACAAACCCTAAAAGCTTTGGTCTTTCTACAACAACACCATTACCACCACCATCTCCTCCAAGCTTTCTTGAAACAGACACAACCCGAGAAGTGTCTTTAGATCCACCGCATCGATAAACAGAGTCAGAACCTCTTAATCTTTCTCCGGCGGAGGAGATTGCGAAGATTGTTCCGGCGACTCCGATGAAGAAAGAGATAAGAGAGAAGAGTACAATAGCTAGATGAATACGAGACGAAGCATAAGGCGAAGAAGAAGAGTTTGGCTTATGGGTTTTCGAAGTGGGTTTACTGTAGTACGAAGGAGACGCCGGAGAAGATGAGGAGGTTGCGGTGGAGAAGCGGTGGGAGAATAGTGGCATTATCGTAAATCTGAGGTTGGTCTAAGGGTAAGTTTGGGTTTTGGTGATAATGTGGTTTACTCTGGAGATTCTGAAGTTTTTATTTTTTCTTTAGATCTGTCTATTAAGCTTTAGGTGACGGTGGTGTGTTGTTGTGAAAACTGTGGCGAATCTAATTATTTTCTTCTTTTTTTGAGATTCTCTTATTACACGAAACCTATGTAATAATAAGTCGTTTTATTATTTTTTGGTTATTACAGAACAAAAAGAAAGAGAAGCAATGAATGCATTCACATGACGATTTATGAGATTTCAATTGCCCCAAAAATATTATAGAAGTACTACAAAATTAAATGTGAGTTTGTAACACAAATGAAATCAACATTTGAAATCTGAATAATCACAAAGTAGTTAGTTTCGGGATTAATATCCGTTATCCGCGGATATATGTATTTACATCCAGTTAGACGGATAGAAATATTAAAATTATAGATATGAAAAAATATGGATACAAATAGGATTAGTTTTTAAAACAGATAACGGAAATCCGTTTCCGTACTAATCGGATATCTGATATTTTGGTACATGTATCCATTTCTGTTTTATGTCTTTAGATATTTGTAGATAATTAAATTTTTAACATATATCCAAAATTTCTAGATACGCATACAAATTTTAAATTATGAATACTATGGATATAGCTACAAATATATATATAAAAAAACTCGATATCCGCTCAGTTAACATGGCTAAATACAATTATTTACTAATAAAAGGGGTTATTTGAGTCTCTTTAAACCATCCACATCAGCATTCAGTTTATTTCTTAGACTGCCACATCATCTTACTCATCTCTACATAGTAATTAGTAAATTATCAGTTATCATCGGCATGTTTCATGTAATATCCCATTACTATGAAAGTACGACTTCAGACACATGAACTCAGTCCCGTTGTCACTCCTGATTGTCTTAACAAGAACCTGATACTGTCTTTCTAACATAGCTACAAAATTACGCAGATGTTGGGCGACTTCACTCTTTTCCTTCATAAAAAATAACCAAACTCCACGTGAAAAATCATCAACAACTGTAAAAAAAAATAACGTGCTCTACTGGAAGCAGGTGTTCGATAGGGTCCCCACAAATCACAATGAATTCTCTGGAAAACTGATGCAGTATTATTAATACTCAAAGGAAAACAATCTCTTGTTTGTTTGGCGCAGAGACAAATTTCACACGCTTTATAAAAACTCTCATTACTTTTACTAAAATCAATATGTGGAAGCAACTTAACAACCTTCAAAGATGGACGTCCCAGACGTCTGTGCCACACATCAACCATCTGTTTTCGAACATGACCAGCAACAACAACACCATTAGGAGACTCCAGACCTTTGAAATAATACAGCCCATCAACCCTCTGTCCTGTTCCAATCGTCCTCAGCGTACGGTCCTGAATCACACAAAATTGTGGGTAAAAACAGAGCAAAACAATTATTCTAATCTATTAATTGTGAAATAGAAATCAGATCAGCATCCAGATTCGGTACATATAAAACGAGAAGAAGATGAAGACATCGACCGAGAACAACTGAACCAGATTTGGTAGCTAAACATTTTCTACCATCTGCAAGAATAACAAACCGAGGTGCAATATCTCGAACATCTCGCAGGACGCTGAGTTTGACAGTCATATGATTTGTTGCACCTGTATCAAGAATCCAACAAACAGAGAGTTACTTATCAGCCAATGTGTCTGCTGTGCTGATTTTCTCGTCTGTGAACATTGTTTGCAACACCTTCAATTGTTCTTCACTAAACCCACCAGACACACCAACCTCTTGTTGATCATCTCTGTGAGCGATGTTGGCTCTTGATGTAACAGGAGCTCGACCACGTCCTCGATTTGCAAAGCCACCGCGTGAGCCACATCGACCGCTACTCCGATTATCAAAACCTCGACCTTGTGCTCCCCAATTCTCTGGATAACCAATCAGTTGGTAGCACGTCTCCTTCTCATGTCCAGTTCGACCACAATGAGAACATATCAGCCCACGACCACGTGGTTGTGAGGAATTGACCACAAAGCTCATTATATCAGTCGTCCGTTCCTTCCCACAGGTTGCTGATTTCATCGTTTCTTCCCTTTGCACCGTTGAGTATGCTTGATTCAACGTAGGCAAGGGATCTCTAGAAACCAACGCAGACTTGAGAGCACCATAACGTTGTTCATCTAATCCCAACAGGAATTGGTCAACCTTGTCATTTTCATGCTTGCGAGCTTCTCTTGGTTTTGATCCACATGTACATCCATCACAAGTACATGCACCACTCTGTTCATAATCTCCAAGACTCTCCCAAAGTCTCTTCAACTGACCCAAATAGCTGGAGATACTCAACGTGCCTTGCTTACACCCGATGAGTTCGCCTTTGAGCTGTTGGACATGTGGCCCGTTCATCACAGAGAACTGTTCCTTGATATCATCCCACAGATCCTTAGCAACTTCAAAATATGATATATCACGTCGCAGATCCGGATCAATGGTATTCCGAATCCAAGATACCAACAACGACTGGTTCGTCCACCAGTCTTCAATTATAGATGAATCTTCCGCAGGACGCTGAATCGATCCATCAACAAAACCAAACTTCTTCCTTGCCCGAAGGGCTGTTCGCAACTCGCGTGACCAATCATCATAATTGTCATGCTTCAACAACACATGGGAGATCACTGCTCCCGGATTATCACCTAAAGACAAATCATATGGATTGATTGTCTTCCTTGGAGTGCCTTCTGCTGCTCCAACGTGCCAACTCCACTGTTCTTCACTTGAGTCTGAGTGCTTACCTCAGCTCCATCAATCTCTCCTCACCCACAACCATGGGGGAAAATTAAACAAAGAAAATTTTATAGATCTAAGAAGCCAAAAGGCTCTGATACCATGTCAGAATTCACAAAACGATTCTGGAAATTCTGTATATTATTAAGCGGCTATACATACATATATATACTTAGGTCTTAGGATACATAAACTCTAATTACATTAACATTAGACCTAATTAAGCTCATACACAATATTAAGGCCCATGGCCTCTATTAGTTGTGTATTCCTGTTGGTTGTGTTTAGCATATAACACATGATTGATGAAGGTCCCCCTTCTTCTGTAGGTTTGGTTGTTGAGACGAAAATATCTCCCATTGTTTCTTCACGATCGTACAATGATTTTGATACCAAATCTAGTTAGTTAAAATATAACGAAACTGAAGATTAATAAATAACTACACTCTTTATTTAGCTTTTGGGAAACTAACTCAAAAACTAAAGCTTCTCAAGTCTCACAAACTCATAAGTTATGTCACACATTTGCATCACCTTGTATAGAGAACTCATAAATAAAATCCTAATTTTAAATAGGAAAATATACATGTTTAGATAACTCCTAAACTTCCTTTTCCCAAAATCATAACTCGACAGGATTAGGTTTAGGTTGTGACTCAAGGTTTCTTCAAAGCTTATAAAAACCAACATAATGATGCTTTGTTTTTAATATATTGTAAACTTAATCTTGTTTAATATTGTGTACTCATATTAAGTCTTAAGTTAATAAAAACAAGCACGGAAGATGAGTTTGGTTCTACCAAATCCAAAGGGAACGAATTTGTTGAGTATTATGTCGTTGAGGTGAATAATTCTTAGAGATGAAAGTGAGTCTGAAAAAGGATACATATTGTGCAACTCCAAACCAATAGTCCGAACCAATAGTCCGAACAAATCATTGTATTATATATAGTAAAAAGTTAGTTTATAACAATTACATATAAGTCGTTGAAGAGAATATTAAACATAACATAATTTTTTAGTGCTAATTACAAATATTTTTTTGCATTTTGGATCATATAAGATTTTGCTGCTTTTCTTGGGTTTTAATCTTAAAAAGTAATAAAATTTCTATAAAACTTTAACTACATTCATGTTTTATTTTACAATCAAAGCTTATTTTTATATGGCTTAGAGAAGATACTAAATAATTTTCCATGATATTGATCCGGTTCAAATCATTAACTTCATCTTGATATTTCCAGTCCCTTATAAAATTAATAAATTAGTAAAACAATAAAGGTAACAGTTAAAGAGGAAATGTTTTTATATAATCTTCATTAGTGTTATTACCTCAGAATTAACTCTTTCTCAACAATAAATTCTTTGAGTTCTCTCAGTTTAGCAATCTTGTTATCATCCTAAAAAAAAAATTATTGTATTCAATATTAAAAATATATATTATACTCTTTTAAATATTTTATTGTATTCAATATAAAAAATTATTGTATTCAATATGAAAGATATTTCATGCGTGGATCACTTCACCTCTGCAATAAATATAATAATATTAGATCAACAATGTTAAACAACATATTTGCATATATTTGAATAAAAACAAATTTGTACCATTCATGGGAAATATGAACATTTTCAGTGGAATCTTCTCTATTGTTCATGCTCAACAATTTCTTAAGCGTCTATACATGTAGAGAAAAAAGTAAACTAGAGGTTTAAGAAATCACACAAAAAAATAAGATGATAACTCAATTGTTTTGCACTAAATGTTCTGATTTTTAGATATTTTCTTTAGTGAACTAGTAAAGTATGAAAACAGTTATACATATTGACATAATGAGTAATAATTTTCAGAATAACTGACAAATAAAATTTATGATGTATACAACAGCACTATATATTATATAAGTTTGTAACAATAATAATAATAATAAGTTTTAAAAATTTACTATATAAAAGTAGATTAAATAAAATAATAATATCGTAAATAAAAACAATTTTTTTTTTTGACATCGATAAAATATAGAGAATTTTTGAGAAATACCCCTTTTGGTGTACCCTTTTTAAAAATACCCCCTTTATCTATCCATTTTCAAAAATACCCCTATTTAAATATAAAAAATTATAAAGTTTTCTATAGTTTATAAGGTACTTCTATATAATAACTACTACTAGGAGATTCGGTTAAATATTTAAAAATGCTTTAAATAGTTTTAAATCGTTTTTATAAGTTTTATAAGGTTTTTAAAAGGTTTCTAAAAGGGTTTATACAGTTTTTATAAGGTTTTTATATGGTTTTTATAATTTATTTTCCTGCTATATATGAAAGTTATATAAAATTTTATACACATATAAAGGTAATTTGTGTATATATTTATAAGCTTACATACATATTTGGATAAATTTCAACATTTTTAATCGTTTTTTTGATAAAGTTTGAAAAGAGGGTATTTTTAAAAAGAGGTATATGAAAAAGGGTATTTTTGAAATTCCCCCTAAAATATACCTAAATAAATTTGGAAACGACATTTTAGGCACTTATATATATACATACAGTTGCACTATATATATATATATACTTACAGTTGCAGTTTTGTGTGCATTTCCATTAAAAAATCAACAACTAATTAAATTTAGAAAAACTTTGACCAAGTTGTTGAATTGTTAAGATGCTTAGCATTTTTATTAAAACTTAATGAAGTGATATATGAAAAATAGCTGGATCAAGTAAAAGAAAAGTAAAATTAACTTTAACACATGAAATTTGTCATATGTTGAATAATTGTTTTGAGTTATTAACAATTTAACAAAGGGCATACCAGATAAATCAATTTTTTTAGTTTAATTCATGTTTCGTAATATTTTTGAGTTATCTATGAATTGATCATATGATTCAATTTAATATCCAAACATATCCCAACTAATTGTCAGAAATATATTGGCAAGTGAAAATTGGATTATAAGTGATAAATGAAAAGTGATAGGTAAAACAAACCTTTATTGTGTATGCCCTCCTGTATGCATACATAAAATACAAAAGATAAGATATATTAGTTTTTAGTTAAAATGTATTAAAAAAAACTAGAATAAACCATGCAAATGTGTTTAGACACTAGTATAGAATCTAGAACGATCAAACCTCTCTTCCCGTTCTTGTAATGAAACCTTGCAAAACTTCTCCAAAATTTTTCCGAAGGAACTACAATGTATAATAAGCACATATTTAATTAAATATCGATTATTTTAACTCATAATCAACAAAATAATGATTCTTTGATAACACATTCTTCATGATGCATGTTCTTGGAAAAAGACACTCCGTATTCCAATTTTCTTATGTAATCAATCATTTCACATATTTCTTATTAAAACTTTTGATTTACCATGCAACTCGTATATAGTTTGTGTAAATATATCTATTTTTCATAATTACTTTTTAAAATTTTTTTTTTAAAAATAAAGTTATATTTTGATAAATTTAGGCCATGAATGTGATGAGGACATCCAAACCACATCAGACGAGGATCAAACCAGACCAGCCGGTTCGAGCCTCAAACCAACCATACCGGACAAAAATGAAGGATTCTTGCCCAAATGGAGTTCCGATGAAGCGCAAGGCCTAGGGTTGATTATTCATCATCAAACCACCCCTAAGAAGACTAATGGTTCAGGAGAAATCAGAAATCAACGGACCAGATTGAAGACTCTCCACGACGACCCATCCGGACATTACCATGTTCAGTTCCACCGACCATATGAAGACTTTTCTCGACCAACATTGAGTATTCACTCGAAAAGTGTCCATTTCATGAAGATCTATCGAGCCAGAATTGAAGAAGATCCGAAATCATAATCGTTCATGAAGACCCGTTTCCACCATACCACGAGCAAGCGTATGGAACAACCGACCAAACCACACGTCCATTCAAGCTGGGATTCAAAATACATCCACAAAATGGACATTTTAAGAGGAATGATCGAGAAACATCAGTCCATCATCGAGGTATTTTGAGAGATGGACATGAGAGCCTCCCCGGACATGTCCAATGGCGAGCTAAGCCACAGTTTGGAGAATCCACTCGTGCATCTGACCTCGGCTTCATTATTCACCACAAAACCAACCATATGGAGCATTATGATCGAGCCAAACCACCCCTGGTTCCAGTTGGATTTGCACTTACTCATTTGGCCTTACCCGAGGGCCATATGTCGCCGAAAATGGAACTTTCCGTATTTGGTTCCTTGGAGTCTTATTTTTGGAGACAAGGAGAACTTATATACCATTTAGAGACTCTCCAATATGCCTCAATATGCACCAGCATCCAGAGGATTAGGCGAATCCTCTTCCACTCCAACTTTCCATTTCTAGGCGCATTCACACTAGGAGGG